CCCAAAAAAAAAAAAAAAAGAATGTGAAAATATACCACCAGAATTCTTATTAGAATTTTTTAGAAAAAACACATCAAATCAAAAGTGCTAAAAAATATGCTAATAATATATAAATATATTCTCATTGTAAAATAGTCGATGCAGAATATATACAGGAGAAAAGGAGTGGATCCTTCATTACTACACACACTCCATCCTCCTCCTTAGAGCTAATCACTTAATAGTTTGATGTGGACATATTTCATAGAAAGAGAGATGGATAGATATACGTACAAAGCATACTTTCCATTAAGAAAATCATATGTATTATTCTACAACTTGAATTTTCACGTAACTTGGAATTTGTATTTGGAATTATTTCCATTTTTGTATATAAAGAACTACTTCACTCTTTTTGATATCATTATAGGGTAGAATAGCACTTTATAAAATAAATGTACCATACTTAATTTAATCTTTTCCTTATTGATGGTCATTTAGATTATTAATAATTGCTATAACAAGAAATTCTACATTTTATGTTCTTGTACGTATATACTTAAAGTATTACACTAGAGAAAGAAAAGTCTCACATCAGAATCCATAGGCCAATATCCTTTGTAATTAAGACACTATTAGTGTTTTTTTAAATTAGAAAACATAGTTTATTAAAAGTAAATTAGAGAGAGAGAGAGAGAAGATGCACCTCCCCAAGGTAGGAGAGGAGGACCAAAGCCAGGATGCATGGCAACAGCCATAACTCAAAGAACACATGACCACACCAGAATCTAGCAAGGCAATGGCCCGACACTATTAGTGTTGTAATAGTATATACATATATATTTTTTTGAGTTGGAGTCTCATTCTGTCACCCAGGCTGGAGAGCAGTGGCACGCTCCTGGCCACCACAGCCTCGACCTGCTGGGCTCCGGCGATCCTTCCACCTCAGCGTTCCAAGTAGCCGGAATTACAGGCATGCGCTACCACGCCCGGCTGATTTTTTGATTTATTGTAGAGATGAGGTCTCGCCAAGTTGCCCAGGCGGGTCTCGAACCCGCGGGCTCAGGCAATCCACTCACCTCAGCCTCCCAAAGGCGCAGGATTACAGGTTGAGCCACCGAGCCCAGCCATAGCAGTGTTTTAATACTATTAAGCTTAAACAAAAGAACAAAACCAACAGGAGCAAACAAATGTTAAGACTCATACCCTAAAATTATTCATCAAAAATAGGGTGACGAGCAATTGAAACTCCTGTTTCTTTTAGTATGATAGTAACTTCTAAATCACATATATTGGTGTGTCAGAAATTATATACAAGGGAAATATATAGAATGTACATGATCAGGAAAAAGAATCATCAATTTTTTTCTGCCTCTATGTGCCCTAGATTTTGTAATGGAGGTGTTGCTACTATTTCTAATATGTGTGTGGTTCAGGAGTTGGTTAACAATGTACTCCCCTCTTGGTTTCTTCTTCAATGAAAAGCCATATAGAAGAGAGCAATTCCTGTGTGGCAGACTCTGAGCTAAACCATGGGGTTACAGGCAGTAAAGATAAAGACACACCTACAGATTAGCACTGATCTGTTAACCAATAGAGGTTACCATGGAATTTTCCACTATTCATCTCCTTCAACCATTGACTGACTAGATTGTCTACTATGTGCTGAGGATACAATGGTAAAGACCAAAAAAGGGGCCCTTCCTTCATGGAACTTACAGTCTAATTCAAACTCCCTACTACTTGGAAGGAAAATTAAAATAAAAAATTCTATATATTCAAAGGCATTCTATTAGGCAAGATGCCAGATTGAGAGAAAAGTTGAGGAGGGCAACTGGAATCTGCCTTGAGAAAATACATGGATAGTGGGAGAGGAGCCAGGATCTGATGTCTGATACTTGTCTGTGGGACAGCATTGAAGGAGGATCCTATGACCCCGTGCGGGTCCTGACAGGGAAAGGACTTCTCTTTTGGACACCTGTGGGGACAGCACAATGTTTTCAAAGTAAGCTACCATTTGGAAAGAGAAAAGAAGCAGTGTGGCAGAAAGACAGACTCTTGGCTCAGACCAGCGATCTGTATCCTAGGGTTCACGGTCTAGGTCTGCCTTCTTTGAGAAGAAGGGCAGTGGTGAGGTCTTTGTGGGAGCCCCTACCATCATGTTCACTTAAGAGCAGGTGTATCTTCCTCTCCTGCTTGGATTTTTGAAACGGTGAAAGAAAAGCCTGCGAGGGCCACACTAGAACCCCGGGGAGGTCTGACCTGAAGTGGCCTCTCCCTGCCGCCCAGCCTGCAGTCCTGACACCCCCTCTTCCATTAGCGTCAAGATAGGCGAGTGAGCAGGATGGGCGGGAGAGGGGTAGGCACTCAACAGTCTGGAGTGCAGAAGTACCAAAGAGCGGCCGGGTGGTATCCATCCGCTGCTCCTCTCAGCGGGCCTCTTTCTGACCTCCAGACCCTGCCCCTATTCGCCCGCCGGTCCCATGCATTGTGTGGGTGCCAGAAATGCAGTAGCAGCAGCAACGGTAGGGTCCGCGGTGGTCTACCGAGGCAGCCGGTGCCCACCAGGCTCGTCCTGACCCCGCCCACCTCCAAGTCGGTACTACTATGGGTCTGAGAGGGGGCGTCGAACTCCTTCGCGCCGTATCCCTCCGCCCGACCCCGCCCCCGCCCTTCCCGGCACCCTGGCTGCGAGCGGTTTCTGCCGCATCATGGGCTGCGCCCGTCTGCTTTGGTGAAGAGAGTAGGGGACGGGACGCTTGTGTGCGAATAGGGTCGTCCGGAAAGCGGTGGAAATCCGAGTGAGGCGCAGCCAGCGCAGAGAGGTGGCTAGGAGAGGAGGGGGAGGCCGACGATCAGGGCCCTGAGCATGCGAAGGCAAGTGGAGGTGTGGTGGGGGCGGGGTGGTCCCCCACAGCCGACTGGCTGGCTGCGTGTCCAGCACACCCTGGCAGCCTGGAAAGGGGTTGGGGGCGACCCTGTCGGAGCCGGTCCCCAAGAGAGGTGCGCAGGGCCGTGACTCCTGGCGAAGAGACAAGGCTGACACCGGCGCGCGGGACAGGCAGAGGGCGGAGGGGGGTGGGCGGGGTGGCACCGCCAGGTCGACTAGGGGCGACTCGCCCTGACCTTTCCTAGCCAACTTCCCAGGCTCCGGCGCCCCGCCCCCAACGGTGTCTGAGCCCTGAGAGGGCTGGAAGGAGAGTACTGCGGGAGAAATGGCGGAGCGGGAGTCGGCGCTCGCCACTTCGGGCTCCAATTCCGGAAACGGGGCTTATTGGGCCCAGCGTCCTGGCTGCTTTTCCTCCTAAATTGTCACAGTCTCCTGTCTGCGCAGTAGGTCTGGTAGATTCTGCAGAAGTGGAACCGTTAGTGGGTGAATTATGAGGACACCAAAATGAAATGTTCATTTGCTTTTCTATACAGCACTGTTTTATTGCCTTCCATAGTTAGATACCCACACTCAATGCACACAAATGGGGAGGATGAGTTAGTGGAATTTCACGGCAAGTGTCCATGTGAATAAACAGTAATATTAGCCGGGCTCGGTGGCTCAGCCTGTAATCCCAGCACTTTGGGAGGCTGAGGTGAGTGGATTGCCTTAGCCCGCAGGTTCGAGACCCGCCTGGGCAACTTGGCGAGACCTCATCTCTACAATAAATCAGAAAATCAGCCGGGCGTGGTAGCTCGCGCCTGTAGTTCCAGCTACTGGAAGGCCGAGGCGGAAGGATCGCCGGAGCCCAGCAGGTCGAGGCTGCGGTGGCCGGGAGCGGCCACTGCACTCCAGTCTGGGTGGCAGAGTGAGACTCCAACTCAAAAAAAAACAACAAAAAAACAGTAATATTAATCCACTTTTCTCATATAGGATCTGTTTTCTCAACATGCCAATCTATTTTAAGTAATGTGTGTGAATGGGAGTTCAGAGTAGAGGGTAAATGTTACCGAAGGGTCCACTTAAAACATTTGAAGTTAATCTTCAATTTCTGGGTCTGGAAACACAAACTCCATCTCCAGCCACTCCTCATAGCCCCTCTCATTTTGATACAGAAATAGTCCCATAGAAGAATTCATTGCATTTCTGATGGTGGATATCTGTGGAGTTACGAGAGTTGAATGACTTCTTTTACTTAGTTCCTGATTCTCAAAAGGAGGTGTTAGAACCTCAATTCTGCGAAACTGTCCATTAACCTGATATTTTTCTGCCATTGTCAACATAGTCTCATTTTGCTCGAATGCCCTTTTTTTCTTTCTATAGGGTGTGACTCTTCTCCAGCTAGAGGACCCTTCTTTGGTGGGAAGGAGAACATCTCCTGATGACCCCTGCTTTATGGACAGACGGACTTAGGTGGTGAATGAGGTAAGATCTAGATATGTATACATGAGGAATGGGAGGGGGCATGTAAATTTGGTATTGAAATAATAGTCTCATCGGGCTCGGTGGCTCAGCCTGTAATCCTGTGCTTTGGGAGGCTGAGGTGAGTGGATTCCCTGAGCCCACGGGTTCGAGACCCGCCTGGGCAACTTGGCGAGACCTCATCTCTACAATAAATTAAAAAATTAGCTGGGCATAGTAGTGCACGCCTGTAATTCCAGCTTCTTGGAAGACTGAGCGGAAGGATCACGGGATCCCAGCAGGTTGAGGCTGCAGTGGCTGGGAGCGGCCACTGCACTCCAGTCTGGGCGACAGAGTGAGACTTCAACTCAAAAAAAAAAAAAGAAAAGAAAAAAAAAAAGAAATAATAGTCTCCATTGTCTTCCCTGTCTGCTTTGTAAACACTGGTGCCTATGTTCCACTATCTTTTTGTCCTCATATTTTTGTTTAGGGAAAGAGGTGTGGCCTCTGCTGGGAAAATGACTGACTTCAGAGTTGGGAAGTCAGATAGTCTGCAAGTCTTGGGGTAGGGTATGGCTGGGAAATCACTGGGGAGAAACAGACAGGTGGGAGACATTTAACATGAATGGCCTTGAAGATATAAAAACATATTATAACCCTTTTTATCGGTGTTAAGTCATCTTTGTCTTTTCTGTTCTCTTTCCTCTGTCCATTTTTCTATCCATAGGTCTATTCCTTTCTAGGTTTCTGTAGAGATCTATAGGTAGCTGTTCACTTGGGAGTCAAGAGAACAAAACTATTCATTTGGATACAAGGTAAGTGTAAGTGTAAGCGTGAGCATCCCCTGTCGATTGGGTTTAGGGGTGGCTGTTGCTCATCTTGGAACTGTTGTCTTTCAACATTCCAGACACCTCTGCCCTCACTTTTGTGTACATGTAATGGGGATAGAGTGAACCAGGATTGTGGTATCTATTGGGGCAGGAAATGGGAAGGGAAGCCATTGAGGATGACTAAGGGGGATAGAAGTATTATATAACCAAAGCCCTAGATTTAGAAAGGCAGATGTTGTGTTTAGAGAATAAAGTACAAATCTGTTTACCAAATACTCAAAATTCAAGTCCCTCATGTAGTTTTGTTTATAAGTCTGCTTCTGGGTTAACTATAGGTCTTATCAACACTGGAAGCAAGGAAGGAGGAAAACATTGCACTGGAGCAGTACAGGTTGGTGTGAGGCCTGCCTGGATAGCTCTATAAGGTCTAATGGTATATGAAGGAGGACCCCAAGAGAAAACAGAATTATCCTTTTGAGGGTGGACTTGTTGTAGTACACTCGTAATTTGTTCCTTCAGATCAAACTGTCAACCAAAGTTTTTATCTGGAAGTTTTGAGAAGGTTGCATCATGAGTTGTGGAAGAAACATCCCAAGTTGTGGCAAACAGGTGATTGGTTCTTCCACCATGACACTGCATTTGCCCACACTGCACCGAATGTTCAGCAGTTTTTTACCAAAAATGGCATGGCCCTCATGCCTCACCCTCCCTATTCACCTGATCTTTTTTTTTTTTGAGTTGGAATCTCACTCTGTCGCCCACACTGGAGTGCAGTGGCCACTCCCGGCCACCGCAGCCTCGACCTGCTGGGTTCCGGCGATCCTTCCGCCTCAGCCTTCTGAGTAGCCGGAATTACAGGCATGCGCTACCACGCCCGGCTGATTTTTTGATTTATTGTAGAAACGAGGTCTTGCTGCCTAGGCGGGTCTTGAACCCGCGGGTTCAGGCAGTCCACTCATCTCAACCTCCCAAAGGCGCGGGATTACAGGCTGAGCCACTGAACCCGGCTTTCACCTGATCTTACCCCAAGCAATCTTTTTTTGTTTCCCTGGATGTAAAAAAAGTCCTTAAATGGAGAAGTTTTGCTAATATGGAAGAGGTGAAACAACAACAACGAAACAGAAGCACTAAAAGGCATCAAAGTGAGCTGGTCTTGGTGGCTCAGCCTGTAATCCCTGCCTTTGGGAGGCTGAGGTGAGTGGATTGCCTGAGCCCATGGGTTCAAAACCCACCTGGGCAGCGAGACCTCATCTCTACAATAAATCAAAAAATCAGCCGGGCGTGGTAGCGCATGCCTGTAATTCCGGCTACTTGGAAGGCTGAGGTGGAAGGATCGCCGGAGCCCAGCAGGTCGAGGCTGCGGTGGCCGGAACTGGCCACTGCACTCCAGTCTGCGTGACAGAGTGAGACTCCAACTCAAAATAAATAAATAAATAAAATAAAAAGCATCAACGTAGATGAGTTCAAAAACTGTTTTGAGCAGTGGAAAAAGCATCTTGATGGGTATATTGCATCAGACAGAGAGTACTCTGAAGGTGACTGAAGTTTAAACATGTAAGAATAAATACAACCCAGGCACATTGGCTCAGCCTGTAATCCCAGCACTTTGGGAGGCCAAGGTGAGAGGATTGCCTGAGCCCTGGGGTTCGAGACCAGCCTGGGCAATTTAGTGAGACCTTGTTTCTACAATAAATCACAAACAACTAGCTGGGCATGGTGGTGTGTGTATGTAGTTCCAGCTACTTGGAAGGTTGAGGTGGACAGATCGCTTAAGCCCAGCAGATCGAGGCTATGGTGGCTGTGAGCTTGCCACTGCACTCCAACCTGGGCGACAAGAGTGAGATTCCAACTCAAAAAAATGATAAAACACATTTTTAAAATAAATAAGTTAGCCGGGTTCGGTGACTCAGCCTGTAATCCTGTGCCTTTGGGAGGCTGAGGTGAGTGGATTGCCTGAGCCCATGGGTTCAAAACCCACCTGGGCAGCGAGACCTCATCTCTACAATAAATCAAAAAATCAGCCGGGCGTGGTAGCGCATGCCTGTAATTCCGGCTACTCGGAAGGCTGAGGTGGAAGGATCGCCGGAGCCCAGCAGGTCGAGGCTGCGGTGGCTGGGAGCGGCCGCTGCACTCCAGTCTGGGTGACAGAGTGAGACTCCAACTCAAAAAAATAAATAAAAATAAAAATAAATAAATAAGTTATGGATTTTTGGGGGCCCCCCTCATATACCAGCATGAGTACAAAGGGGTTGGGTACTCCTTAGCTTGTCTCTCAGCAAGCTTACCTAACCATCCTTGTTCTGGTTTGATGCAAAGAAAAGAATGGTAGTGCCTAGGCAGGACATTGTTGTGCATCAGTGGGAGTATGCGAGGGGCAAAATGAAGTGACAGAATTTTCTACTGATCTACTTCTCATATCACACAATCCATTTGTATTATGTCTTTTTATGTGGCTGTCTGCATAGAGGAGACTCAAAGTCAGTTTCTTTCTTCCACCTCAGGTCTATCTGCAGTGGTGGCTGTGGTGGCTTTGGGTTGGTCGAAGACCATCACCTTCAAGTCTGCACTTGGAAGCTATCATCCTTCCCCAGCCTGACCATTACTTCTGTCCTCTGTCTGTATCATTGACAGAGGCTATGTGTTTGGAGAGAGTATTGTGTGACTGCTGACCTGGCAATTGACTCTGACTCTTGCTACCTAGTTTATCCATGACTCAGTGAAAGAGTGTTAAAACATTGACCTAGGACACATTGAGAACCAAGGTCAAGACTGGATAAGGCTGTCTAACTGGACTTCAGCCATGACTGGAACTAAGAATAAGAGGCGAGCCCAAGCCAAAGCTGAAAAGAGAGTTGTTGTACAGGTTAAGGCTGGAACAGAGAGAGAGGCTGCTGGTGTAGTCAGACCTGCTGCCAAGACCTGGTCCAAAGCAAAAACCAAGGCAGGGTCTAAGAGAGATGCAGCGGCAGAGGCAAAGGCAGTGTCTAAGAACAAGGTAGTTGCTAAGATGAAGGAAGGAGTTCTGTCAGAGCCTAAGCCTCTGGGCAAAGCCATGGGAGATTTTAGTCCCAAGGCTGAGAATGAGGCCACCAGTTCCACATGTAAAGATGAGACTGGTATTGATGCCTGGTATTGGTCTGGAGAAGAGGCCAGTATCAATTCCTGGTTCTGTAATGGGGAAGAGGTCAGTAAACATTCCAGTGCCAGTGCTAAGAATGAAGATAAAGCTGAAATTGGTGCTGAGAAGTTGGAGCCTGCACCTGGGGCCAGTTGGAAGCCTAGGTCGGGGGCTGAGGAGGAGGAGGAAGAGAATGTTATTGGGAGCTGGTTTTGGGAAGGAGATGATACTAGTTTTGACCCTAATCCTAAACCTGTGAGCAGAATAGTTAAGCCTCAGCCTGTGGATGAAATTAATGAAAAAGATAGGCCCAAAGACTGGTCTGAAGTAACTATCTGGCCCAAAGCCCCTGCTGTAACTCCAGCAGTGTTAGGATTTAGATCCCAGGCCCCAACTGAAGCAAGCCCTCCTTCATATATTGTTCTTGCCTCTGCTGACGAAAATACCCATTCTTTGCCTGTGGCAACAGCCTGCCATTCTAGGCGCACACACTCATGCTCACAGACTGTCTCTGAGCACCCATTTGGTTCTGATCCTTGCATCCAGACCATAGGTGAAATTAGACACCAAATCAAGATCAGGGAGGTAAATGGGATTAAGCCATTTTCTTGTCCTTGCAAAACGGAAAGCTGCATAGATTCTGAAGAATTTGAAAAACTTGTTAGCATACTTAAGTCAACTACTGATCCTCTCATTCATAAGGTAGCACATATTGCAATGGGTATTCATAATGTTTATCCATTTGCCCAAGAATTTATTAATGAAGTAGGTATAGTGACACTTATTGAAAGCTTGCTCAGTTTTCCTTCTCCCAAAATGGAAAAAAAGGCTGTAATTACTCTGAATCCTTCTGGGAATGAAAGACAACGCAAGCTTGAATTACATGTTGAGCATATGTGTAAGGAAGCAGTGTCTTTTCCCTTGAACTCACCTGGACAGCAATCTGGATTAAAGATACTAGAGCAACTGACTACTGATTCTGTCCATCACCATATTATTGCCAGTTACTTTTCAGAGTTTTTCCATTTGCTGTCCGAGGGAAATCATAAAACCAGAAATCTTGTCTTGAAAGTACTTTTGAATATGTCTGAAAATCCAACTGCAGCCAGAGACATGATCAATATGAAGGCATTGGCAGCATTAAAACTCATCTTTAACCAGCAAGAGGCAAAAGCAAATCTTGTTAGTGCTGTAGCCATATTTACTAACATAAAGGAGCATATCAGAAAGGGCTCAATTGTAGATGTTGATCATGTGAGTTATAGTACACTCATGACCATCTTCGAGGAAGTTAAGGGGATTATTGAAACCATGTAAAATGAGCCAGAGATAGACAAGAACACTATAAACCATCTTCAAACTCTAGCAGTCTGTACCTCCCCAAACAGCCTTGTATTGTGTTTTGGTTGTTATGATGTGCATATTATATATAGCAAGATATTACCTGTGACAGGTTCTAGGTTTAAGCTAGACCATTTTGGGCGTGTCAGATAAATTCTTGAGCTGAAAACATTTGTTGATTTTTATCTTGTTTGGATTGATAGATTTTTATCATTTTACTTTAGAAGATGGTGAACCAGTTCATCATAAGTAAGATAGCTTGTTCATTAGTGTCCACTTAGTTCCATTTGTGGCTTCAAATAAAAAAAGAAAATATCCTTGAGTTTGTAATCTAGTTACAGAAGTAATATGCACAAAGATAATAGTACCTAGAGTGTGTGTGCACATATACCCATTACCAAATGTGCCCTCTCAATGTGTAAAGGAGGCAGAGATTGCTATATGCTGTTTAGTATAAGAAGTTACTATTTTTCCGGTATTCTACCTGCCTCAGACATTCATTCTACAACACAGAAATGACCCAGAATCTCAGATGATAATAACGTAATGTTTATTTTTTATTTTAATACTAAATTTATGACTCTTAAATTGTTAAGCTTTTTCATTTATGTCAAAGCCATCTCACAGAAAAGGAGGAAAACATTTTGTAAGTGCCAACCCTATGAATGACACTGCTGGTACTTTTTTTTTTTTTTTTTTTTAGAAAGCAGGATTTATTGAGAAGACAGAAAAGCTCCCATAGTGAGGGGGGACCTGAGGGGGTTGCCCTGGCACTACATTTTACAAGGTTATTTTTCCCTCTCTTCACAGTGATGCTGTGAGCTAGGTACTTGTATTTGTATTAGAACTCATTATTCTGAGTACCCTCCAATGAGAGGTTAAATACTTCTTCCTAGATTCCCACAGCAGGCAGGTGGCATAGCTGTTTTGTCTGAAACCAGGACCCATCTCACCACCCTACCTTACCGTCTTCCTTTACTCTTTTAGGTAGTGGCCTTCAAAGGTCAGAGACTGGTTTTAATGGTTTAATTTTGCAGTGCATGATGTCTCTGCCACTTGTTGCAGTTCTTAACTTCCTCCCACGTGCCCATTAGCCATTTGGCTATAATGACTGGAGATCAGGAGAAAAGTCTGAGATGAATGTGTGGATTTTATCTGGCAGTGTCTGGGAAATAGAAAATGCCCCAAATATGTTCAGATAATAAGATGTAGATTTGGAGTCATCAACAAGTAAAATTTGTTATATGTTCTTCCTAACCTTTTCTTCCTAACCTTTTCTATTTGTACTTACCTTTTTTTTGAGTCGGAGTCTTACTCTGTTGCCCAGGCTGCAGTGCAGTGGTACATTCACAGCCACCACAGCCTAGACCTGCTGGGCTCAGGCAATCCTCATACTTCCAAGTAGCTGGAAGTACAGGTGTGTGCCACCACGCCCAGCTAATTTTTTGATTTATTGTAGAGACAAGGTCTCACCAAGTTGCCCAGGCTGTCCTTGAAACCCTGGGCTCAGGCAGTCCTCTCACCTTCACCTCCCAAAGCTGGGATTACAGGTGTGAGCCACCATGCCCGGCTACTTTTTTTTTTTTTAAAGAGCTGAAGTCATTCTGCACATTGTTATATACCCTCCATTTAAAAAGGTAATTTCTTACCACCACCTTGCAAAGTCATACCTTAAATTTATTTTACCATTTGTGATTTATTTTCCTGTGTGTCAACTGAAAGGCCAGAGGGCTTTATCTTTTACTAGTAGGCAATTAGGCAATTCTGGGCATTTCTGCATTTGTACCAACTAAAACTTTACAGAATAAACTTAACTGGAAAAAATTAGACCCCAAATTGCAGCTTCAGCCACATAAACAATAAAGCTAGGAGAGAGGCTGCTATCTCAACCTACAAGATAGTGATTCCTGGGAGTCTGTATGATCCAGAAAGCATTCCCAGAACTTTTGGGCTATGGCTGAGCTCTCTAAGACTCATGGTAGAAATGACAACCTGTGGTCTGAGCTGAGGAGAAAGTCTTTAAGTATAAAAATAGAGTTATGTGCTTTGAGATTTCCAGACAGCTAAGAAACTAAAATAATATCATGCCATAAATATGTTTGTAATTTGCTTCCCCCTACTAACTGTATATTATGAATATCTTTTCATGTCAATAAATATGCTTCTACAACATATTTTTAATCACTTAATGTTTTTCTTAATGCTAATAGAATATAGTATTGTAATCTTTGATTGCATATCTCTTAATATACAATATGTACAGATTTATTCTTTAACAAAAATAGGAGTACCGTATCCTGAGAATTTCCTTTTCCTCTTAACAATTATGTTTCCAATTTAGTATGATATGTATGTACTATGTGTATATCTATACATAAATATATAGACATAGATACTGCCACATTTTATTTAATAGTTTTATTGAGACATAATTGAGATACATTAAACTGCATATTGAAAGTATATATTTGATACATTTTGAAATGTATGTACACACAATACCATAACCACAATCAAAATAGTAAATGTATCAATCATTATGCTCCTTTTTTTTTTTTTTTTTTTTTTTGAGTTGGAGTCTCACTCTGTTGCCCAGGCTGGAGTACAGTGACACACTCATGGCCAACCCAGTGTTGACTTGTTGGGTTCCTGTGATCCTTCCATCTCAGCTTTCCAAGTAGCCAGAACTACAGGTGCAAGCTACCATGCCTGGGTAGTTTTTTATTTATTGTAGAAACGAGGTCTTGCCAAGTTGCCTGGGCTGATCTTGAACCTGTGGGCCCAGACAATCCATTTGCTTGGCCTCCTAAAGTTCTGGGATTATAGGCTGAGGTACCAAGTCCGGCCATTATGCTCCTTTTATCTCATCCTGTGCCCCTACCCCAAGGTAACCGTTGGTCTGCTTTCTGACATCATAGAATTTTTTTCATTTTCTGTAATTGGGTAGAGATGAAAGAAATGGAATTGTACAGATTGTTCTCTTTGGGCATGGTTCTGGCTTATCTGACTCAGCATAATTATTTGAGATTCATTTGTATCTTGTGTCTCAACAGTTTATTGCTTTTTATTTCCAATTAGTAGTCTATATGGCTTTACCACAGTTTGTTTATCCATTTATCTGTTGATGGGCATTTGGATTGTTCATATTTTGGCTATTCCAAGTAAATCAGCTTTGAGTGTTTGTGTACAAGTGTTTTATGGACATATACTTTCATTTCTCTTGAAGTGGAGTGGCTGGATTTTATGGTAGGTATATGTTTAACTTTTATATTTTCCAAAGTAGTTGAACCATTTGACATTCTTACAGCAGTGTATGAGAGTTTTGATTCCTCCAAGTCCTTTCTGACACTTGATGTGGTCCTTATAAATTTTATCCATATCTCCTTGTAGTTCTTATTTGCATTTTCCTAATGACTAATGATGTTGAACATCTTTTCATGTGCATGTTTGCCCTCCATAAATCTTCAGTGAAGTATGTGTACATCTTTTCCCAATTAAAGAAAATTGGAGTTTTTTTTTTTACTGTGAATATACGTTATTCAGTCATTTTTATTTACAAAAATATGGAACATTCACAAATTTGTGCATCTTCCTTGTGCAGGGGCCATGCTCACCTTCTCTGTATTGTTCCAATTTTAGGTTGTTTTTTTTTTTGAGTTGGAGTCTCACTCTGTCGCCCAGACTGGAGTGCAGTGGCCGCTCCCGGCCACCGCAGCCTCGACCTACTGGGCTCTGGCAATTCTTCCGCCTCAGCCTTCCAAGTAGCTGGAACTACAGGCGCGCGCTACCACACCCGGCTATTTTTGATTTATTGTAGAGATGAGGTCTCACCAAGTTGCCCAGGCGGGTCTCGAACCCATGGGCTCAGGCAATCCACTCACCTCAGCCTCCCAAGGTGCGGGATTACAGGCTGAGCCACAGAACCCGGCTCCAATTTTAGTATATGTGCTGCCAAAGCAAGCACAGGTTGTTGATTTTTATTGGGTTTTTTTTGCATGTATTGAATACAAGTCCATTATCAGATATATGTTTTGCAAGTATTTTCTCCCAATCTGTGGGTTGTTTTTATTATCTTAAAAATGTCTTCTGAAAGAGCAGAAAACTTAATTTTGATGAAGAACAATTCTTTTACAGGTTGGGCTTTGCCTAACCAAGATCACAAATATTTTATCCTATACTTTCTTCTAAAACTTGATAGTTTTAGGTTTTTCATTTAGGTCTGTGATCCATTTTGAGTTAATTTTTATATATTATCCAAGTTATAGGTCAAAATTCATGTCTTGGCTTAGCAATATCTAGTTGTTCCAGCACTATTTGCTGAAAAAAAAAAAAACTCCTTTCTCCACTAAGTTACCATTGCATTTTGTCAAAAATCAGTTGTCTCTGTATGTATGGGTCTATTTCTGGACTCTATTCTGTATCACTGTTCTATTTATCTTGATTCCAATGCCATTCTGCCTTGATTACTGTGACTTTACAATATCCTGAAATAAGGCAGTGCAACTCCTCTAGCTTTATTGTTTTTTCAATTTATTTTGGTTGGTACTCTTGTATTTCTACAGAAGTTTAGAGTCAACTTGTCAATTTCTACAAAACACTAGCTGATATTTTGATTGGGTTAGCTTTGGATTAATTTGGGGGAAACTGACATCTAACTATTGAATCTTGATACATGAATAAAATATATCTTCATTTATTTAGGTCTCCTTTAATTTCTCTCAGTAGTATTATTTAGTTTTCATACAACATACTTTTTTTGCAGCTGCATATATTCTTTTATATGGTTGCAGCACATGTTATTTAATCACTTCCTTGGTGATGAATATTTACAGGATTTTTTTTTCCTGTGAGAATTGATGCTGCATTGAGCATCCATGTTTACATCTTCACATCTCTTTGAATATTTATATATATATAATCAATTCCTTGCGGTGAAGCTTCTTGGTCACAGATAATAAATGGCAGCACCCTCCAGCCAAAGACCACCAGAAACATGCCTGTATTTGAACAAATTAGGTTTATTTTTTGTTGCGGTGAGGGAGAACACAAACCATGGAGAATCATGGAGTGCTTCAGTAAAATTTTAGAAATGACTTATTGTGGGATTTGGACTTGTGTTAGGTGATTTGGGGGAGGATTTAAGAAAGTGAGACTCTGTTGTAGATAGAAAACAGAAAGCATAAATCTGTGATTATTTAAAAAGTAAAAACTGTGCCCAGGAGGAATGCATTCTTTAGATAAAGATCAACTTTGCTGAAACCCAGATCCCTCAAACATGACCAGTATCTGCCCATTGCAATCTTCAAACAGACCCCTGAAGATGATAAGACCATGCTACCCGGTGCCTGGGAACCAGATCCCCTCTCTTCCACAGGGTCTACAAATCATCCACCCTGGGAAGTGGGAAGCAGAACCTCTCCGTTCCTCCCTTCCCCAGGGTCAGCAAATCATCCACAAGTGGCTAGCAATGAAGTCACACCAGTCACATATACTTGATTGCAACATCTCCAGGGGAGAGGATTTAAGTCCAGGGCTTGGGGGCTATGGAGCCACACTCATCTTAGAGTGCTGGCCCTCTTCCTGTCTGTGGGAAGTGATCTTTATCCTAAATAAATCTTTTCTTTCTTCATCGCTTTGTGTTGCAAATCTTTGTGTTATTCAAGTCTCTGGTTACCAGCGCATACCTCTGGCACGC